AGTAATTTATTACACAGTAGAAACCACATCTCAACTTACCCACATACTTAATCGCCATCCCTTATCCCTTCCATCATCCACCACATACTTAGGGTCTGTTTTGGCAGCTGCAGCTTATCTAGATTATGCTGATAAACATCTTATCCTGATAATTTACGGATAAACAACTGATTCGGATAAGCTGACTTGATGTTTCGTTAGTGCATTTTAAGAATCGCTGATTCTGGATAAATGACCAATCTGCCACTGTTCTGGATAAGCTGTTTAGCTGTTTGGTTCGTACGTTTTGTAAACAACTTATTTGCAAATTTTTTTATAAATTTATCAATCCTCTTAATCCAATCATAAAGTTGAGATAAATGTGAAAATTGAATAACATGAAAATAAAAAATATTCTAAATAATTAAAGTTCAAATGTTAAGGCATGAAAATATAAAATATTTATATCACTAAAATATTTCAAAAATTACCCAATGACACTCAACAAACGAATCCTAAGACACAATAATCCATGCCTACTTGCTCGAAATGTAATCAATTGAGACGAGAAAACTAGTCATATTCAGAAACCAAACCACACCTTTAACCAGATAAGAAGCCCAATTAATTGGGCAACCTTTGTCTAACATTAGAGGAATTATACAACATAATTCAAAAAATTACGTAGCTAAAAATTAAACAATCAATTTCCTGAGAAGATAGTCATCTTCTACAGTTATTTCATTTTACAGTGGCCATCAGGCCAGCGTATTATATTGCATCAAGCAAGAGTATAGAATAACAACATGCAGAATAAAGAAATCATTGAAATGCAATGTACAATGGCCAGTAAAAGAGAGCGACTGTACCTTGGGCAAGGCGGGAGGCGGAGACGCCAATGATAGACAAAAGAGTTGTGTAACCAGTGGAGATAAGTTTCTCTTTGTGAGAGGAAGCGACGGGGAAGGTTTCGATCACGAGGGTTTTTGGTTGGAAACGGGAGGAAGGAGAAGTGGGCGGGGGTTTTTGAGCGGAGTCGGGAGGAAGACATACACGAATAAGGGCAACAAGCTCAAATGCTGCAGAAAACGCAGGCTCCTCCCGCGGTCCCAGTGTAATAAAAATCAGAAAATGCGTTTTTTTAAAACTTTCCCAAACACGAGAAACAAACATTGAGCACTTATAAGCTGCCAAACGGTCTACGTCAACGAGAGTCAACAGGAAACCACGGTGGAAACCACACCTCTGACTTGTAAACATACTTTACGCATCATTGATAGCAAAGCCACCTACTTCCGTCCTCCTGACCCTCTTCCTCTCTTCCACTCTTCTCTGCCACCTCGCCTCCTCTTAACCTTGATCTGTGCCATGGCAGACTGGTTTGTTGGCCTAATCCTGGATAAGCTCATCAACGCTTGCTCTGATTACCTGCAAGAGCAGTACTTCAGATGGCAGACAGGCATGAAGGATGAGCTCGAAAGGCTGCAAGAAAACCACCCCAAGATCCAAGCTGTCGTCTCTGCTTACACCCGAGCACACATCACAGATCGCAACCCGGCTCTCAAAAGATGGATATGGCAGCTACGAGATGCCATCGATGAGGCGGATGATGTTCTGGATGACTTTGAGTACATGAAGCTTGAACAACAACTGGAGCTCAACATGGGGGAAACGAAGGTGCGTTCTTCATTCACTAGATTATTTTCGGAACCTGCTCGCAAACTTCGCAGAGTCGCCGGACGAGCTTTCAAAAAGGATCCCAACTTGGAGAGGCTGGAGGAAGTTGTGAAGAAACTTGATAAAGTTTCAGCTGAGGTCAGTACTTTCCTTCATCTCATCGAAAACACAAAGCAAGAGCAGCAGGAGCTGGAGCTTCAGTTGGGCAAAGATCGTGAAACAGGATGCTTGCCTAAAAATGATCTCATCGGTCGAGGCGAGGAGAAGGATTTTGTGATGCAGTGGTTGAGGAAGTCAAACAATGAAGATCCAACTCATATTGCTAGCCCTACTCTGTACAAAAACATCTCTCTTCTATCCATAGTGGGTCATGGTGGCATGGGCAAGACAACTCTCTTACAACACATCTATGAAGATCTTAAAGAAGAATTTGAACTGAAAATGTGGGTTTGTGTTTCCAACGACTTTGATGCAAAAAAGATCATTGCCGATATTTTGGGATTTCTTAACAAGGAGAGGCCTCGTTCAGAGTCACTCGCTGCCTTTCAAGAGAGTCTTAAAGCTGTCGTGCAATCGAAAAGGTTCTTGCTTGTTCTGGATGACATTTGGGAGGAAGAAATGAACAAATGGGAGAATGTGCTCTCCCCTATGACTCGTGGAAGTTTCGGAAGTAAGATTTTGATAACTACTCGAATGGATATAGTTGCATCGACGATTGCAAATGTTATTAAAACGAAGAAGGAAACATTGAGAATAAAGGGCTTGGAGGAAGATGTGTGTTTGAAGCTACTCAACACCCATGCATTCGCTGGTGTAGAGAATCTTGACGCTCATAAAAAATTAACAGACATTGCTAGTTCGATAGTTAAAAAGCTTTCAGGCTCTCCACTGGCAGCAAAGGTCATTGGTGGTGTTCTCAATTCTAACTTGAATGAGAGCTTTTGGATGAAAATTTTAGAAAGTAATGTTCTAAACGTAGAACAAGAACCGGGTCGCAATAATATTTTGCCTATCTTAAATTTGAGTTTTACATTTCTCCCACGACCTCTACAAAATTGTTTTGCATTTTGTAGCGTATTCCCACAAGATCATCAGCTTGATAAAGATGATTTAGTCCGAATGTGGATTGCATTGGGTTTCATTCCGGAATCTTCTATTGAAGGAGAGACTTTGGAAGATATTGGAGGAAGGTATTTTGATGTTTTGGTCAGAAAATCTTTCTTTGACGAGTTTCAGGATGATGAGAGAATATACTATAAGATGCATGATTTATTACATGAATTCGCACAATCTATTTCTTCAGAGGAATGTTTCAGATTTGTCGGAGATAATGTTTTATCTTTTAAGATTCCTAAAAATGTTCGACACTTATTTGCTCAAACTGAAAATCCAGAAGTGTTGAGAATGATCAAAGATGTTAAAAATCTACATTCGCTTTTTTTGACAGTCGTTGATCAAGATTTTACTGAAATACTTACTGAAATTTTTGAAGCATCGAGAAGGATTCGTTTGTTGTTCATATGCTCTCTAGGGCAGAAAAAGATTTCTGAGGCTATTAAAAATTTGAGACATCTTCGATATTTGAATCTTACTGCACAGCTCACTCATATGCCAAGATCTCTAAGCAGTCTTTATCATTTGCGGTTCATAATCTATGGAAGGATGTGTTGGGGATTTTGCTCTGATGATTTCTTGCCTGGCAATGTGAGTAATCTTTCTAACCTGCGTCACTTGGAATTGCACCATAAAGTATTTTCTAGTGTACCTGGAATTGGGAAATTAAGGTCACTTCAAGAACTAAACGAGTTTAATGTTAAGAATGAGAATGGTTATAGAATTGGGGAGTTGGAACATATGAGCGAGTTGTGCAAATTAAAAATTCATTTTCTGGAAAACGTGAAGGATGCTATAGAGGCTCGCAATGCTAAATTATTTGAGAAGAGAAAACTCACAGACTTATTCTTGAATTGGGGCAATACCGTTGATGAACGGAAGATTGTCAATTCTGACTTAGATGTGCATGTGCTTGAAAATCTCAAACCATACAAAAATCTGAAGAGATTGTCCATAGTTTCATACAAGGGTGTAAGCTCTGCAAAATGGATGTACAATGCAGATTTGATCTCCAATCTAGAGTGCATCTGTCTGGATGAGTGTTCGGAGTGGGAAACTCTTCCACCTTTCGGGCAGCTTCCCTACCTCAAGTCACTATACCTTCGTAACATGCCAAAAGCAAAGCGGCTTGACCTTAAATTCCATGGGAATGACAAGGTTTCTGTGTTTCCATCGTTGGAGGTGCTAAATATGGAGGGATTGCAAGTATTGGAGGATTGGTTTGATGGAGCAAGAGCAACAGCATATGACTGTTTCTTTCCTTGCTTAACTGAACTCTTCCTCGTTAACTGCCCAAAT